TTTTATTCTTGTTTTTGGCATTTGGAAGAATCTTATCAAACCAGACAGGAGAGGCACAGGCGGTCTGAAGTGGAAGGCAATCTTAATTTGAGGTTTGAGGAGGACCAGCTTCCAACGTTCTCTCATCAGAGTGTTAAAAACCCATGGATAATAACGGGCAGAGTCCAAAAGCCTCTGGCTGGTTCTCTCTCTTTAACTGTACTTTTATTGTTCACACTGTTACAAATGTCCCCATATCTTTCCCCCCTTTCCCCCCACTACCCAGCCCTCGCCCCCTTCCCTCAGGCTATCCCCACACCGTTGTCCATGTCCATGGGTCATGCATGTACATTCTTTGTCTAACCCCTTCACCTTCTTACATCCACTGCCCTTACCTCCCTCCCCTCTGACAGCTGTCAGTCTGTTCTTTGTATCTATGCCTCTGACTCTCTTTCGCTCATTAATTTATTTTGTTCATTAGACCCCACATATAAGTGAGATCATATGGTATTTGTCTTTCTCTGACCTGCTTATTTCACTTAACATAAATAATCTCCAGGTCCACCGATGCTGTCGCAAAAGATAGAGTTCCTTCTGTTTTACTACTGCATAGTATCCCATTGTGTAAATGCACCACGGCTTTTTTATCCACTCATCTATTGATAGGCATTTGAGCTGTTTCCAGTTCTTTACTATTGTAAATAACGCTGCTTTGAACATAGGGGTGCGTATATTCAACCTTCAGTGTCCGTGGCCCAGTCTGCACAGCAGATGAGCTCCAGCAAGGAGATAAGGGAGAGAAAAAGTACTTCCTCCCAAGTGCCCAGGGCTACTGAGAACACACCACCTATCTGGAACTATGCCGAATGTTTGACTAACATCATCTCCCTTAACTCCTACAACTACTTTGAACCAGGTATCCATAGTTCCATTTTACAGTTATGGAATTAAAGTGTCTAAATTGGGATTCAAATCCAGATCTTTCTGATTCCAAAATCTGTGGTTTTTAGCACTGTACTGTAACTGTCATAATTTTCTCCCCTGAAGCCAGAGAGAGATAGTATCAGAGAAAGGGCATGCGGACGGTGAGCAGCCCTGCCCACCCTGTGCGCTGCCCTTGTGCTGTGTGGACCTCTGGCTGGTGAGAGCATGTCCCTGTGCCACCTGCGGCTCTGCCGCGGCACCCAGAGCTGTGGGTGTCCGGGCGCTGACCCACGCTGGGGTCCCGGCTCCAGGAGCTGGGCAGTGCTGCCTGCTGGTGGGCTCACGCAGTCCTTAGCACAAATCTGCTCCTTGCTCTGAGGGACTCTCTGCCCCCACCAACTTACATGTCGTGGAGCAAACAACGTAAGGGATCTTGCAGTGGCGGTGCTAGTAGTGAAAGTCCTGCCCCAGAAAACGTGGCAGGGCCAGCCCTGCAGAGGCAAGAAGCCTGCTTCCATCGGCGCCAGATTTGCCCCGTCCCACCAGTGAGCCGGGCTGGACCGCGTCTCTGTGACTGTGCAGGGACACAGGATTTCTAGTTCCCTGGAAAGATAAAACCCTAACGCGGGGAGCAGCAAGAGGGAGTCTGGGACATCAAAACCAGCCTCAGCTCATAAAGATGCACGAAGGGACGCCGACAAGGCTCAGCTGCTATCCCTGCTGACGTGGAGACGCCAGCAGCACAGCCACAGGGGCACGGGCCTCGCAGAGCTGGGGCAGAGTGGGTTTGTGCCCGGCCGGCTTTGGGAAGGGCTTGCTCCCCGCGGCGGGCGCCCGTGGCTGTCGATGGCGCTGCTGGGTGCGTCCCAGGAGACGGAGCGTGTCTGCAGACGCTTTCCTCAGGGCCTCCAGAAGGCCTCTCATTACTATCAAATGCTCACAACGTGCAGCTTTCAAGAACAGGATGTGATTTTTTTCTTTTTTTCTTTTTTTTTAAGGAATTAGGAAAATCAATAAACCAACCATAGGGACGTCCTTTCTTTATGCTCCAGCCATATCGGCGTCGTTTGGATCCATGAATGTGCCTCCTGCTCCTTCTCACTTTTAAACCCACAGGACCTCTGCGTGGAACCTCCTTCCCTCCCTCTTATCCGACTGAGCGCTAGGTCTTCTCTTAGGCCTCAGCTTACAGTCGCTCCCTTGGGAAAACCTGGGAGCTCCTAAACCAAGCCAGGTCCTCCTGTTATATACCCTGGACTCATGTCACTTATTACATTTGCAATTCATAAATCATGTTGTAAACTAACATTCCTTTTCTCTTGATGATGGGCTGCAGTTACCCCAATACTTAGCCGCAGCCCCCTCTGTGCCCTCACCCAACCCCGCCAACCACCCAACATGGAGGAATCAAGTGCCAGTTTAAGTACGCAAGTCCCTTGTGTGGCTTAAAAGCTGTCTGATGTCAGAGCAGGGGGCCCTGGGGACGTCTCCAAAGGCAGGGCTGGTGCTCTCAGTGGACGGGATGAGCTCAGAGGGGGCCGCCTGAGTCTGTCATGGTCACTGCTGTTTTTCCAGGACCCACCTAGTACCTGGGTCCCAGAAGGTGCTCACTAAACACTCCTCGCGTTACTGAATGAACGTTGGACGCCAGGCAGCCCGGGTCAGGGGCTGCACAGAGAACTTGCAGTGGTCGGAGTTCGGATGACCTGAGTCCTGTGTGTCAGAGTGAGAGGATGTTCCTCAGCTGCCCTTCCCCCACCTAGAGTGGATGGCAGTGCTCGTGGACACCCAGTCGGAAGTATCAGTCAATACAAATTCTTCGATTCATGTAAAAACATCTTAATAAAGAAATAAAAATCATTTCAAGGGATTCATATTTTTGAACCAACTCTTACCTAGTTTTGCTGCAGGTCTTTTAGGCATGTGCTCTGAGGCAGCCTAGCGATGAAGACAGAAGTGGTTTTCCTCTTGTCTACAGAAAGCGGTCTGCCACCATCTTGCCCTTGCCCTGTACATGTTAAAGAGTTCAATATGGACCCTAAACTCCTCTTTTTGGTGAGATAAGGGAGAGTCCATCTTAATTCTATTTTTTCCAACAGCTAACACTCAAGTGCTGGGTGGACAAACTGACCACCAGATGGAGGGGGTGAGAATACCTCAGGGCTCTCAATTCCTTTCTCACATGGATTCTAGATTCATGTGAGATTCTAGATTTACATGTAAATCACTTTTCCCCTTTTTATGAAAGTGATAAATATTCAATTTTGAGAATTTAGAAAATACAGATACGCAAAAAGGAGAAAATTTAAATCACCATAATCCCAACACCAAGAGATAACTACTATGAATATATTGAGGTCATTTTTCCCCTATGAAAATATATACTTTTTATTTTATAAAAATGAAAGCATGTGGGGTGGGGCAGTGAAAACAATTTTCATACAGAAAGTGTAGGGTCACTGAGGAATCTAACAAACATACCCTGTACTGTTCACCAGCAGCACGGCCAGACGTGAACCTCTGGTAACGCGTGTGGGTGTGTGTTTGCATACCTGGGTGCGTCTGTAAGAACGAACTGCTCCAGGTAAAGCTGGCATCTCCTCGCTTTTCTCTGCAGCTCCATTCCCCGTCCTCCTCGTCCAGGAGTAACGAATAGCCTGACCCTCCCGGTATATACAGTGTTGCCCATTGCCCATGGTTTCACTTTCTGCGGTTTGTTATCTGTGGTCTGAAAATATTATGTAGAAAATTCCAGAAATAAATAATTTATGAGTTTTAAATTGCATGCCCTTTTGAGTATTATGATGAAATATCATGCCCTCTCACTCCATCTCACCTGGGATGTGGATCTTTCCTTTGTCCGGCAACTTCACACAGTGGATGCAACACCCTTTCCCCACACCCAGCCACCGGGTAGTGACTTAGTGTACACCTTGGTTATTGAAGAGACCACATTCACATAACTTTTTTTTAAGGTTTTATTTATTTATTTTTAGACAGAGGGGAAGGGAGGGAGAGAGAGAAACGTCAATATGTGGTTGCTTCTTGTGCATCCCCTACTGGGGACCTGGCCTGCAACCCAGGCATGTGCCCTGACTGGGAATCGAACTGGCGACCCTTTGGTTTACAGGCTGGCACTCAATGCACTGAGCTACAGCAGCCAGCGCCACATTCACATAACTTTCTACAGTATATTGTTCTATTTTATTATTCTTGTTATTAATCTCTTTCTATGCCTAATTTTTCAATTAAACTTTATCATAGGTATGTAGTATAGAAAAAAAACAGCATGTACAGGGTTTGGTACTATCTGTGTTTTCAGGCATCTACTGGGAATTTTGGAATGTGTTCCCCGAGGATATGGAGGGACAACTATATGTATATATATATGTATGTATGCATATGTGTCTAGTGTACATGTTTATATAATTTACGTAAAAGATAATTACTATGCATAATGATCTGAAACCTATTACTTCCACTCTAGTTTTTACGTCTCCATGTTGATACAGGTAGCTGTAACCAATTTATTTAAACAGCTGCATGTAGTCTGTTGTATGAATATGTCACATTTTATTTTATTCCTCTATTGTTAAAATTTAAGTTGTAGCTAATATTTTACTATTACAACCATTGCTGCAAGGAAACCCCTGTACAAGTTTTCTTGTGTATGTCTAAATACACATCTGCAGATGTGTATTTAGAACTGGAATTGCTATGTTGAAGGGTGTAAATATTTCAAGATGCTGAGTTAACTTCCAAAGTGGTTTTGCCAACATGTACGCCCTCTGGCACTTTATGAAAGTTCCCACTTCCATATATCTTCATTGGCACTTGCTATTGTCAGACCATTCATGTTTGACAACCTAATAAGCTAGAATTGTATTTCACTCTCTTTTTCATTGCACTTCCCATGATTGCATGTGATTTTAAGCCAATCACTGTTTTGTAACTGCTTCCCGCACTTAATGTATTGAACACCTTCACATATGAATAAATATTCTCCCATATAATTTTAAGGCATGCTATTTTGTAGGGCTGTGCCACTGTTTCTGTAACAAATGCCCTAACATTGGAATTGACACTTACATTTCCAGGACTTGGCCGTTACTAACGGCACATGGGAGCTGTTGACGCAGAATGGTGCAGGTGGACTTTGGATTCAGACAAACCTGGCTTCCAGTCTGAGACCCACCACTTGCCAGCTGTGCAGCCCTGGGACAGCCCTCAGAGATGACAAGACTACGGTGACCCTCTGGGACCTCACGGTCAGCATGAGATCAGCCCCTGCGGCCAGCTGCAGTTTGAGTCCTGGTTCTGCCACTCACTAGCTGTATGGCCTTAGGAAAGTTCTTTAAGTTCTATCTGCCTCCATTTCCTCATGTGTAAAACTAGATATGACAACAACAGGGCCTACCTCAGAGGCTTGTTAGAATGAGGATGCAATGTAATGGATGATTTTTGCATAGTCTGGCATATAATAATATGTACATTTATTATATGCATACTGGTCAAGTCTAACTGAAATAAAATAGAATGTTTGTAGATCAAAACAGATCTTCATAGTCAAGTCCAATTTACCCAGATGGGGAAAATGAAGTTCAGAAGAATGGGTGACTAGTTGCTGTCCATCGATCTGTGGAAAGAGAATGAGGGCCACCATCATTGGGCTTTCTCTGGCACTTTAAGCCATGTCGTGACAAGAAAATCTGGAATGCCAACAAATTGCAAACCAGACGTCCATCCCTTCAGCACATACATTCCATGCGGTTCAACTGCCATTCTAAGCGGATGGTCTTGCAGTGTGTGCGGGCTCACCAGTCGCTCTTTCCTGAGGCCAATTTGCTGCAGGCACGACAAGGTGGGCTTCAAGCACTTGGTTACCAAGCCTGGATGCCAGAGCATGGGAAGTGCAGAGCCCTGTGTGTTCTGCTCACTGCTGGGGAACAGGAGAGCCTGATCCCAACTGTGGCCACTAACACATCAAAAGCTCCAATCCTCTGCCAGAGAAGCTTCAGGGGAGTAGAGAGTGGGCACAGCTAAGATGTGCAGATGGCTTGGCAGCATGTAACCTTCGTGACCCCGGACATCTTGTTGCTGTTCCTCAGATTTGTTATCTCTCCCGGGGCAGGCCGGGCACACCTACCCTCAGGGCCTGCTCAGCCCGGGCCATACCTGACACCAGCCACCGGCTGGGAACACAGGCTTTCCTTCCACCCCTATACCCACTCTTCCATTTCAGAATAACTCCTGTGTTCCTGTCACTAAAATGGACAACAAGGATGTTTCCAAAAGGCAATAAATATAGTTTTCCTTTGAGAGGAAATCACTTGGGTATTGAGAAGGTTCTCCAGACACAGGAGTATGACCAAGGAGCTTTCTGAGAATCTTGTGTCCATGTGCTAGGATATCTAGGAAAGTGTCCTAAAAGCCTGTAAACCACTAGATAGCTTAACCGCTGTCAGAGTTCTTCTTTGTGGTTTCAATAATGAGAAGTCCTGAAACTCCTATTTGATAAATTGAAAAATATGTCTCCCTTTCAAGACCCTTCTAGAAGAAAATGGAATATATCTACTTTGTTTATAGATTCTATTATATAAGTATGTACATATATGTATATGTAGACTTATGTATGTATGTATATAAATTGTTTAAGTAAAAATCTCTTACCACCTTCTTCACAGGCTTTTCTCTGTTGGAATTAAGAGCAGCTTTATAATTCAGAGTTGATCACTAAAAATACATTAAAAAACTAAAACGTTTAATGTGTCCACTTGAAGTTTTCCAAGCTTTACGATAGTCCAGTTGAGAGTTGTATCTGGGAGAAAAGAAGCAGCGGAGTTGGAAAGATTGAAGGCTGAGGGAAGACGGGGCAAGTCCCGGGTGGGGAGGGAGGGAGGGAGGGGAGGAGCCAAGCGCCACTTTGTCACGTGTGGATAGGAAGCTAAGACAATTGCTTCAAAATCTTCCCTCTAGAGATTAAGGCAGAGTCTTTGGGAGCTGTGAAAACAATTCCGCCCTCTAGTTGGTAAGGGAAAAAAGAAAGAAGTTTCCAGACTCATGTGAACAATCTTTCTTCACTACAACAAAAGTTACAGTGTTAAAAATCTCACTACGGCAGTCTGAACTGCTGCTGGTGGGAGTGAAAATCGGTACAACCATTTTGGAATAGTATTGGGCAGTAGGATAAATTACAGCGGCCACAATGTGCTGTTCCCCTATGCAGAAGGGGAGTCTCATGCTCCCCTCAGTGACTTGTGGGACCGGTGGAACATGGTGGGGGTCATGCTGCCTCACTTCCAAGGCTCATCATGACAAGCCTTGTAGATTTCTCCTTGGTTACAGGCTCCGGGGGAGCCGGCTGCCACATCAGACATCCCAGCCCCCTGTGAGTGCCACGCTAGAGAGGCCTCATGGAGGATCCTGACAGTCATAGCCTTACCTGGCCTGGCAGATGTCCCTGCTGAGCCATCAGATATGTGCAGGAAATCGTCTGGGACCCTCCAGACCACATGGTGGCCAAACCTCAAAGACACATAGTCAATGCCACATAGAACAATCCTGCCAATACTACCTGAATTCATTGCCCACAAAATAGATACAAAGTGGTGATTGTTTCAAACCACAGACTTTGGGGGTAATTTGATAAGCAGCAATGGATCACCAGGGCAAATAACATCCACTAAAGCTTAGTATACCCACATCCTAGACCTGCCAGTTCCTCTCCTGAGTAAATATCCAACCAGACATGTGTTGATTTGTGCCAAAAGAAATATACGAGAAAGGCCATAGCAGCTCCACATTCCTAACAGCCCCAAGGTGGAAACCACCCCAAAAAGGCGAGATGAGAAGTATCCATCTGCGAGGTCAGGCTGGATGGGACCTGTGGCGGCAGGAGAGAAGGGTGGCAGAGAAGCCTGGTTGGCTGCTTGGGACCTACCTGAGGGAGCTCCTAGTGAGAAGGTTGCACGGTGTTGGGGATAACACTGCTGTCACAGCTAAATGCCCACTGGAAGAGGAGGCACCCAGTGAGTGACCACTCCCTCCATCTCCCATCACCACCTGTGAGCCAGGCCCCTCTGAACCACGACACTTTGTGTGAATCATTGTAGGCGTACAGCGCGCTTGGCTTGTGCCTGATGAGAGGGAAAGCAGGGAGGGAGAGAACGAAAAAGGAACAATGAAGGCTCTCACGTAAGAAACAGGTATGTAAGCCCTGACTGCTGTAGCTCAGTTGGTTGGAGTGTCATCCTGTAGGCCAAGACTGTGGGTTCAATTCCTGGTCAGGGCACATTCCTGGGCTGCATGTTTGGTCCCTGGTCAGGGTGCCTAGAAGAAACAACCGATTGATGTTTCTCTCTCGTGTCGATGTTTCTCTCCCTCTTGTTCTCCATCCCTTCCCCTCTCTCTAAAAATAAATAAATAAAATCTTCATAAAAAAGAAACAGGTATGTAAATAAGTAATTATACTATAACATGGGAAGTGCTGTATTCCAGGTTGGCACACTGTTTCTATATTGGTCACTCGATTTTACACCCTTGTCCTCTGTTCCCCTAAGGATACTCCTTGAGGGCAGGGACTGTGTGTTTATTGACTCCACCGCATGCAGCACAGAGTCTTGTGCTTGGAAATTACTTCAAACCTATTTAAAAACAAAACTTAATAGCTGAGTTAAGCCAGAGCTCATGGGGTTTATGGAATCGCATGAGAGGTCACCTTGACCTGACGTGAGCCCTCCTCTGTCTGCAGTCAGGTTAGAGGCGATATGCTTGGGGCCGAGGGTAGGAGAGAGTATGAGATACTATAGGCATCCAAGAACAAATGTCCCTTCCCTAGTGTCCCAAGAGTAGGCCATCACGATAAGCTCCAGGCATGAGGGTCCCATCTAAAGATGCAGCATCATAAAATGGGGGCCAGGAACCAGCTCTGGCCAAGGGGGGCAAGCAAGCCCCCTGGCAGAAGGAACACCAGGAGGTGCAGAGTATCTCACTGGGCCGGCTCATGTCCTCTGGGGGAGCAGGCTCCAGGACCCCAAAGAGCCATGGCACACAGCTGAGCTGGGGAGGCCTTTCTGTCTCCTTCCACAGTGAAGTCAGGTAAACTTCTCTGATCCATGTCCCATAGACCAGGTGCAGTTTAGAAACTGGATGTGGTTTAGGGTGTGGTTTAGAAAGTGTATGTGTGTGCACACTATACACACATGCACACGCACACACACAGTTCATAGAATGCCAACTGTGCAGTAACTTCATTGACTTTTTTAAAAAATTAATCCTCACCTGAAGACATGTTTGCATTGTTTTTTAGAGAGAGAGGGAAGGAAGGAGGGAGGAGGGTGGGGGGGGGAGAGAGAGATGAATATGAGAGAGATACATTGATTGGTTGCTCCCCATACATGCCCCGGCTGGAGACTGAACCTGCAACCTAGTTATGTACCCTGACAGAAAATTGAACCTGCAGCCTTTTGATGCATGGAATGACAATCCAACTCCAACCAAATGAACCATGCGGCTAGGGGTTCATTGATTTTTTTAATCACTAAATATATTTTATCAAGCAATTAGAACTAATATTGTATGAGTGTGGGTGGGGAGCGGATGTCATGGAACTCTAAAAGGTTCAGAAACATCACTCTAGTGTATGGTGTGCCAAGATGCTGAGATATATTAAGTGGGCTTTTTGTTGTAAACTAAGGCACCACAGTGGCAGGAAGGGAAGGTAGGAAGGTGGTAGCTAAAAAATTAATGTGAATAATGTTAAAGTGTGATATCTCTTTTGCATGGAGAGTAGATTTTAATCAATTTTATCTCCCCATTGAAGTTGACCTAAAGTCCTTAGCCAACTCCCCCAACCTTGGCATACAGCCGGGAGTTTGGATTGACAGACTGTTTTGGTTGCATCTTTCCACTGACCAGACAAAAGTGATTTTTTGTGTGTGACATTTTATACTCGGAAGAATGAGTAATTCTGAAAAAGTCCACCAGAGGGAGCCAAATGACTGCTTTAGAACTATTCACTGCAGGTTCGGGCTTCTTTAGGAGGCTGTTTGATAATAGCTGGAGCGCTTCCGTCTGCCTCACTTTCCCCTCCTTCGCTCCTCCCGTCATGACTTTTTAAAATTCAGAAGTACTCATAGCACTAGAAATGCATATTCTGTATTTTCTTACTTAACAACCCACAGACTTTAAACAAATACCGCTGTAGCCTCAACGTGAAGGTTCTCTACTCTCTTAATAGAGAATAGAATCATTTTTTAAAATCTTGTCTTAGGAAAAAAATAACATTGTGGGTGCATGGTGAGGAATAAATCTGGTCAAGTATATTGGTGGGCTGGGGGTTGGGGCTGGGGTATAGGAAGATGATTTATAATTGTAAACAATTTACCCGAAAGTGAATTTTCTTCTTACACTGCCCTGTGGGTTAGCTCTACATTGGGAATTGCCTAGACAAACACGTTTCCTGCTTCCCTGTAGCCTCAGACCTCTGACACTGTCTGTAGACAGCGTGTTCTCCCGTTGGCACCGGCTGTGGCCGGCTCTCTGCGGCCAGGAGAGCTGGGAGATGGTGGGCTTGAATTTCAGCCAAGGTCTTAATTCCCACCCTCACCTTTTCAACCCACAGCCGGGGCCAGTGGGTCCTTCTTCTGAGACCCCACCCATTTTGTTTGTATTATAGCTCCAATTCCATTATGCAAATTTAAAATCTGATTTCCTTATTAAACTGTCAGCTCCTCGAAGAAAGAATTTTGTCTTTTCTTCATAGCCCCAGAACCCAGCAAAATGCAAAGCATATACTAAGGGTTACTCATTGTTTATGAAATAAATAATAGCTTTATAAACGAGGTACAAAATAATAAGAACTAAGAGCAAGCATTTACTATAAGCCTCGTCTAAGCACTAGGGGTATCCAACCTGTGGCCTATAGGCCGCAGGTGGCCCAGGGTGGCTATGAATGTGCAGCCCAACACAAAATCGTAAATTTACTTAAAATATGAGTTTTGTTTTTGTTTTTGTTAGTGTTTGTGTATTTAATGTGTGGGCCAAGACAACTCTTGTTGAGGAGGAGGATTAAGTAACATTCGCAGGGTCTTGTGGGTTTGAGGCCTGGGACAGTGATGTGAGAGCCCGGGCGCTCAACCACGGACGGCGCCGTTAGCCAGCCCGCTGGGGAGCTAGAGAGAGCGGCTTCACAGACCTGGACCTGCTCACGACTGCGCTAAGGATGCCAGCTGCCTCACACTTGAGAAAACCTTGACTAGAGTAACATGCAACTCACCTCAGTCCTTAGGTATGTCAAAAAGCTAAGCTATGGTAACAAGACATCTCTAACCCCAAATACAGTGGTTTAAAGACAAGAAAACCATTTATTCCTGATTCAGATATAATTTTGGGGTGAATGTTCTGAGCCAATGAGCAGCTCTGCTCCACGTAGTCATCCAGGGACCCAGGCTCTTCCATTCTGGGTCCTGCCATTCCCAAGAGCCTTGTTTTCTTTGTGGTTGGGGCTGGACCACACTAAGTCTGGGTAACAACCAGGAGGAAAGTAGAAGCAAGCATGCGGGAGGCACACTTGCATCTTTTTAAAAATTTTTAAAAATTTTTAAAAATGTTTATTCATTTTAGGGGATAGGAGGAGGTGGGGGGAGGGGGGGAGAGAGAGAGAGAGA